CCCACTCCAGTATCTTTGCCATGAAAACCCCATGGACAGTACCAAAAGGCAAAAAGACATGATGCCGGAAGATGAGCCCCTCAGGTTGGAAGATGTCCAATATGCTACTGGGGAAGAGCAGAGGGCTGGTACTAGTAGTGCCAGAAAGAATGAAGCGACTGGGTCAAAGCCGAAAGGACACTCAGTTGCAGATGTATCTGGTGGTGAAAGGAGAGTCCGATGCTGCAAAGATCTATACTCCACAGGAACCCGGAATGTAAGATCCATGAATCAAGGCAAGCTGGATGTGGTCAAACCAGAGATGACAAGACTGAACATCGACATCTCAGGAATCAGTGAACTAAAATGGACAGGAATGGGTGAATTTAATTCAGACGACCGTCAGGTATACTACTGCGGGCAAGAATCCCTCCGAAGAAATGGAGTAGCCTTCATCGTCAATAAAAGAGTAGGAAAAGCAATACTGGGATACAATCTCCAAAATGACGGAATGATCTCAGTTCGAATCCAAGGCAAACCATTCAACATCACAATAGTCCAAGTCTATGCCCCAACCACTGGTGCTGAAGAGGCTGAAGCTGACCAGTTCTATGAAGGCCTACAACACCTTCTAGAATTAACACCAAAAAATGATGACCTTATCATCATGGGGGATTGGAATGCTAAAGTAGGAAGCCAAAAGATAACTGGAGTATCAGGCAAGTTTGGCCTTGGAGTACAAAATGAAGCAGGGCAAAGGCTGGGAGAATTTTGTCAAGAGAACACACTGGTCATAGCAAACACTCTTTTCAAACAACCCAAGAGACGACTGTACACATGGATCTCACCAGACGGTCAACACAGAAATCAGATTGACTATGTGCTCTGCAACCAAAGATGGAGAAGCTCAATACAGTCAGTAAAAACAAGACCAGGAGCTGATTGTGGCTCAGATCATGAGCTTCTTGTTGCAAAATTTAGGCTTAAATTGAAGAAAGTAGGGAAAAGCACTAGGCCACTCAGGTATGACCTAAATCATATCCCTGATCAATATACAGTGGAGGTGACAAATAGATTTAAGGAATTAGATCTGATAGACAGAGTGCCTGAAGAACTATGGACGGAGGTTCGCAACATTGTACAAGAGGTAGCAACTAAAACCATCCCAAAGAAAAAGAAATGCAAGAAAGCAAAATGGCTGTCTGAGGAAGCTTTACAAATAGCTGAGGAAAGAAGGGAAGCGGAAGGCAAGGGAGAAAGAGAAAGATACACCCAATTGAATGCAGAATTCCAGAGAATAGCTAGAAGAGATAAGAAGGCCTTCTTAAATGAACAGTGCAAAGAAATAGAAGAAAACAATAGAATAGGGAGGACCAGAGATCTCTTCAAGAAAATTGGAGATATGAAGGGAATGCTTCATGCAAAGATGGGCATGATAAAGGACCAAAATGGCAGGGATGTAACAGAGGCAGAAGAGATTAAGAAGAGGTGGCAAAATTACACAGAAGAACAGTACAAGAAAGATCTTAATGTCCCTGATAACCATGATGGGGTGGTCACTGACCTCGAGCCAGACATCCTGGAATGTAAAGCCAAATGGGCCTTAGGAAGTCTGAGCAACAACAAAGCTAGTGGAGGAGACAGTATTCCAGCTGAGCTATTCAAAATCTTAAAAGACGATGCAGTAAAAGTGCAACACTCAATATGCCAGCCAATTTGGAAAACTCAACAGTGGCCATAGGACTGGAAAAGGTCAGTTTACATTCCGATCCCAAAGAAGGACAATGCCAAAGAATGTTCAAACTACCACACCATTGCACTCATTTCACATGCTAGCAAAGTTATGCTCAAAATCCTACAAGCTGGGCTCCAGCAGTATGTGGACCGAGAACTGCCAGAAGTACAGGCAGGATTTCGAAGAGGGAGAGGAACTAGAGATCAAATTGCCAACATACACTGGATCATGGAGAAAGCTAGGGAGTTCCAGAAAAACATCTACTTCTGCTTCATTGACTATGCTAAAGCCTTTGATTGTGCGGATCACAACAAATTGTGGCAAGTTCTTAAAGAGATGGGAGTCCCAGACCATCTTATTTGTCTCTTGAGAAACCTATATGCAGGTCAAGAAGCAATGGTGAGAACTGGACACGGAACCACTGATTAGTTCAAAATTGAGAAAGGAGTTCGGCAAGGCTGTATACTGTTGCCCTGTCTATTTAACTTATATGCAGAGCACATCATGAGAAAGGCGGGGCTAGATGAATCACCAGTTGGAATTAAGATTGCTGGGAGAAATATTAACAACTCAGATATGCAGATGATACCACTCTAACGGCAGAAAGTGAGGAGGAACTAAAGAGCCTCTTGATGCGGATGAAGGAGGAGAGTGCAAAAGCTGGCTTGAAACTCAACATCAAGAAAACTAAGATCATGGCTTCTGGTCCTCTCACTTCCTGGCAAATAGATGGGGAAGAAATGGAGGTAGGGACAGATTTTATTTTCCTGGGCTCCAAGATCACCGCAGATGGGGACTGCAGCCAAGAAATTAAAAGACGCTTGCTCCTGGGGAGGAAAGCTATGGCAAATCTAGACAGCATACTAAAAAGCAGAGACATCACCCTGCCAACAAAAGTGCGTATAGTCAAGGCCATGGTTTTTCCAGTTGCAATGTATGGCTGTGAAAGTTGGACCATAAGGAAGGCTGAGCGCCAAAGGATTGAGGCCTTCGAATTGTGGTACTGGAGGAGACTCCAGCGAGTCCCTTGGACCGCAAGGCGATCAAACCAGTCAGTCCTAGAGGAGATCAACCCTGACTGCTCTTTAGAAGGCCAGATCCTGAAGATGAAACTCAAAGACTTTGGCCACCTAATGAGAAGGAAGGACTCCCTGGAGAAGAGCCTAATGCTGGGAACAATAGATGGCAAAAGGAGAAGGGGACGGCAGAGAATGAGGTGGCTGGATGGGGTCACTGGGGTGGAGGGAGTGAGCTTAGGTGGACTCCAGGGGATGGTGGAGGACAGAAAAGCCTGGAGGAATGTTGTCCATGGCGTCGCGATGGGTCGGATGCGACTTTGAGACCAACAACAACAACAACAACGCACCTGCATATCCGAGGCGGGGGAATGGTCCGTGCTGCTGGCAGAGGGCATTCTGCTGCTCTGCCCTCACGCCTGGCACCCACCCAATTATTTATCTTTCACGGAAATGCATGCACGGCCACGGCAGGAAATGCATGCAAGACAATGTCAGTGGCGGGGCCTGACACTGGTCCCCGCCGCTGCAACCCCCCTGCAGAAGCCCCTCACCAGTTTGCCCACTCATGTTGCATCCACTGGGAGCTGGTGGCTGGCCACTGGTCCCTCCTGCCCCCCCCCCCGGCCGGACCGCCCCCGCATCAACTCTCACCTGCCCAGTCTAGCCCAGGCCCTGCTTGCAACTTTTGAGAGAGAGAGTGTGTGTTTTAACGCACGTTCCCATGAGTGCACAGGAATGCCATAAAGACCGCCCTTTCCTCCTCAAAGGCAGCCCCTGACTGGTTCTGAGCGTAGCCGCCCAAAATGCATGAGAAAGGAAAAGGTAAACGAGGGTTTGGGGGGTTCTGGCCAGGAGGGCAAGAGCCGAAGAGGCAGGCTCGGGAGGGGATGGGGCCTTCCCCGAGACCACAAGAACTGCCCGTGCTGGTGCCGAGCTGCCAGGCACCCTGCAAACACCAGGGAGGCATTTCGGTCTGTTCAGGGACCCTGCGAGGGGCATCCCTGCCAAGCTTCCTCAGCCACCACTCTGTAGCCACGTGCGGCTCAGGACCACTGTGCCGCCCTCATCCAGAAGCGCGGCTGGGTGGCTCCGGGCTCGCTCAGCCCCACCGGCCGGCCTGCTCCGCACGGACCTTGTTCCTGAGCGAAAGGAGGCAATCGCCCGGCAGGGGCACGCCCTCTGCTGTCAACCTGCCCCTCTTCAGGGGTATCTCCAGATCAGGGCCTCCTGGCTGTCCCACCACCTGCCCCATATGTTCGGCCGCAAGCCGCAGTGGGACTTTTCCACTTCGGTGCCCGGCCTTGGGAATTCTTTCCGCGCTGGAGCACCATCAGCTCTGTCCCTGCAGGAGGTTTGGGCATCTGCCGAAAACACATCTGCTGAACCTCGCTAGATTTTTAACTAGATTTCAATACCTAGCTAGTAGCTGGCTTGCAATCTTCTTTTAATTATTGTTTTAATGAGCTGTGATGGGAAACGTATACCTATTTCAGCTAGATAACGGGAGCAAGCTACAAAGCCGACGGCTCGACCGTGTTCCCACCAAGACTTTCCTGCAGAGGCCTTACCATTCAGCAGGGGCTCCAGGAATCCCACTGCCGGCAGAAGGCACCATCACGGCGTTCCTTTCTTCCGTGAGGGTCAGCCTCATCTCCAGCAACTGGGCCTCTCGGTCCGCATCGTCTTCTGTTTTGTCTGGAAGAGGTTCGCAGTTGAGTTTTTAAAGGAACTTCTGAAACATACAGGTGGGTTCCACCCAGACATAAAATGGCCACCGGAAGAGGCCCAAGGAAAACAGTGAAGTCAAGACTCTGGCCCCGGGGTAAGGCTGCCACTCTCAGAGACCGACTGTCACCCAAGTTCAGCCTGATCAATATTCATGGCATGAAACGCCATGTTCCGGCTTTACCATCGATGTACAAATGTGATGCTTAGAAAACGTCCCCTCGGGCACAAGATAAAACGAGCACTGTTAATTTCAGGGGTTCCTGCAAGCAAAAAAGTCCTAAAGGCCATAATGCTGAGCAGGAGATAAGAGAGATCTAATGGTTGTGTAAAATATTCAGCATCTCCCACGAAAGAGTTTCCCCAGAAGAAACTGATTAAACTCAGTGTTAAGATGCTCCCACGGTTTGAGTTAAATCAGCAACTCCATGCCTAAGAAATGCCTTGCTGTTTCTGACCAGGCAGCCTTCCCCCAGCGGTCGACAAAACGCCTTTGGGAGCTTTCAAACAGGCTGTGAAGGGGGGACTTGCACCACCAGCAAAACTCCCCTCACACATTTATTTATTTATTTGTTGTGTTCACATCCCAACTTTTCCTTGAGGGAATCGCAGGTGCGAATTCTTTCCTCCTCTCCCTTTCAGTCTCACAACGACGCTGTGAGATGGATGAGGCTGAGAACGACAAAGTCCTTCAGAGAGCTTTATGACCGAGCGGAGACTGGAACCCGGCTCTTCCAAATTCCTCTAACCACCACCCTTTGCTGGAATGGAGGTGCCGTTCCGGCAACTCTGTGCTCTGAAGCTGCAATCAAAATCACGTGTGATTTCTCCCATTTTCAGGGAATCAAAATGCCTTCTGTCTTCCTCCGCTTTTCATCTTCCATGAGCCGTGATGATCTAAGCCAGGGGGGTTCGAACTTCTTGTCGGGGCCCTGCGCTGTGCCACATGGAAGCGCTCTGCCTGCAGAAGGTGTCAGGTTCCACCCCGGCTGGACGGACCCATGAACTGACTCAGTTTCCCAGGTCTCCACCTCCCTGGAACCTTTTAGACATCAGGATGACTGTCAGTGAATTCTTGTTCACTGCAGGGAATTCCTGGCATGGGGAAGCGTTTTAGGGAACACGCCGTCCAAAGGGATTGCTGACTCCCTGGATTATGCCTCCTCAAAGCTCTAGGGCTTTGGAAGTTCCTTGGATTTAGGTGGAAAGGCGAGGCAGAGTTGGGTGATGTCAGCATCTTGGGGACCTTCAAATCCCAAACTCCAGGCACTTTCCCCCAGCGGTTTCATGAGGAAACTCAAAAGGACATTGCGTCAAATGGGAGCTCCCAGCACGCCCTTCTGAGATCGCCACTTTGAGAAGATCTGAACCGCCAAATAACCGTGCTGCCCAGTTCCACCTGAGACAGGTATTCCAGAAGACTAAGAACATCCAGGGTGTGTGAGGAATCCGCCCGGGGTGGGAATCGGTCAGATTCTCCGGGCTCAGCTCCCTGGACTTCGGTCCACTTTGAAGCAGCCAAAGTTCCCGGGGAGTGCGCCCAGTATTGCGGGTGGGTGCTGAGGAAAGGTCTACTCACGAGGGACTTGCCAGGGAAGCAGCCCACCCACGACCACTCTGCCAGCAGCACCCCCCTTCCACACTAGCAGTGGGCATTTGCAGACTTCCACCGCCAAGTTTGTTTGTTTATTTATTTATTAAAACATTTTTATGCCGCCCCATTCGCTGAAGCCTCGGGGCGGCTTACAACACTAAGTTAAAAATAAATAACATTAAATTAAAAATATAAACATTAAATTAAAAATACAAAAATAACAATATAAAATAAGCCGCCCTGGCCAGATAAAATCCAATAATATTAACAATTAAAATGCCGCTTAAATAAAAAGGTCTTCCCCTGGCGCCGAAAAACAAGTAACGACGGCACCAGGCGGACCTCTCTGGGGAGCGCATTCCATAGATTGGGCGCCACCGCAGAGAAAGCCCTCCTCCGAGTACCCACCCTCCTAATTTCTTTCACAGAGGGTTCCCTGAGAAGGGCCTCTCCCGCTGATCTCAAGGGGCGGTCGGGCATATATGGATGTAAGCGCTCCTTCAGGTAGCCAGGTCCCAAGCCGTTTAGGGCTTTATAGGTCATCACCAACACCTTGAATTGGGCCCGGACTTCAATGGGAAGCCAGTGAAGCTGACGGAGGACTGGAGTCATGTGAACATACGCCCAGTCCCCGTCAGGTTCACTTTGGAAGACCTGGCTGAGCATGAGGGGAAGCCCATGGATGCTTGGAGGGAGAGATTCCAAAAGGGTTCATCCCGACTGTAGCCCCGGGACACACTCCGCCATCCAGTTCCCAGCACAGATCATCCAGGGGTGTTCTCTGTCCCATAAGCAGGCCTGAAGCCAGACTGAAATGGATCCGGATGAGCCAACCCGTCCAGAAACCTCCTGCCCTCCTTGAAGCGGACTCTTCCCCATAACCTTGGTGGAAATTGCAACACAGCCCAAGAGGACACCCCCGACCCGGAGCTGTCCTTGGAAGCTCAAGTGACAGCAGTGGTGAAGAGCGCTTTCCTTCAGTTTTGGCTAATCCATCAGCTGTGTCCCTACCTGGAGGACGACTGCCTAGCGACAGTGACACATGCATTGGTTACTTCCAGGTTGGATTTCCGTAACGCGCTCTACATGGGGCTGCCCTTGAAGACAATCCAGATACTTCAGATGGTGCAAAATAGAGCTGCCAGGATGCTGTCGGGGTCTGGGCGTTATTCTCATATTACCCCAGTCCTCTACCAGTTTCACTGGCTTCCCATCAAAGTCCGGGTTCTATTCAAGGTGTTGGTAATTATCTATAAAGCCCTTAATGGCTTGGGACCCAGATACCTAAAGGAACACCTTCTTCCATATTTGCCCTCCCGCCTCATGAGATCGGCAGCAGAGGCCCTCCTCCGGGAGCCCTCCGGGTACTTTGCTTCCTGATATCTCTTTCTCTGCAGTGGCGCCCCATCAATGGAATGCGCTCCCCAGAGAGGTCCACCTGGCGCCATCGTTATTTGTTTTTCGGCATCAGGCTAAGACCTTTTTATTCAAACAATATTTTAACAATGTATAATATTTATAGGTGTTAATTGTGCAGCCAGGGTGTTTCCGGGTTTTAACTTGTATTTGTATTGTATTTGTATTATATATTGTATTTGTATTATATATTGTATAATTTGTATTGTATACAATACAAATACAAATACATTGTATTTGTATTATATATTTGTATTATATATTGTATATTTGTATTATATTTATTTATTTGTGTGAGCCGTCCCGAGGCTATATAGCAAGGGGACGGCATAAAAAAAACTTTAAATAATAAATAAATAAATACTTCTGCTCACCGGGCTTTCCCACGAGCTTCTGCAGCTGTTGGTCGAGGTACTCCTGGCGTTTTGTGAGCGTGTTCAGCCATTTGCGACGCAGCCTCTCTAGGTCTCTGTCCTGTGAAGAACTTAGTTAGATTAAAAAGGGAACAATACTATCAGCTTGGGAGCAAAGACAGAACCATGGGCATTTGAGAGGGGGCACAGAAAGGTTTCAAAGGCATCCAACAAAGAAGCAGCCGCTGAAAGCAACAGAAAATTCCGATGGCAAACTTTTATACGGGCAGCGATCAGTGATGGCTTGTTTGTTTCGACAAAGAAAGCCCTCCAAAATGTTCAGTCCTTTGCAGCCCTGCTCAGCGCTTGGGAATTCCTTATGGATTTGCTCCATCTCCGAGTTGGTTTTCCTTCCCTTTCTGTGCTGGTGGCTTTCCCCAGCACCTCCACACAAACTACAAATACGAAAACTGACTCATTTGGCAAAGTTATTGTTCAAGTGTATTTATTATGAAAGCATCCTCCTGTAAGCGGATGAAACTAAGAGGATGAGAAACACACTTCTTCTTTTTTTAATGAAAATGAAGTTTCCCTGCATTCTGTCTCTGCCAACACTTTTCTGGAGAAGAGGAAACCCCCATCGATTATGCTTGTGACTCAACTGTGTAACGCTAATTCTTTGCATGGGGACACCCGAGCCAGAAATCTCAGCATGCTAACACAGGGCAGAAAAGAAAGGCATTACATTTACCTGGTAGCTGTCCATGTCATCGTTTTCCTCCTAGGTAGAAATCAGAAAATTCAGGTAAGTTCAAAGCAGCTAATGTGTAGCTAGGCCAACATCAAGTATGAACACCTTATCTACAGGGGAACAGGCTCAGATGATGATGAGGAGGAGGAGGAAGAAGAGGAGGAGGAGGAGGAGGAGGAGGAGGAGGTAGTATTTCATTTTCGTACTGCCCATAGACAAAGCTGTCTGGGTGGTTTGCAACAAAGTATAAAACCCTACAATACAGTAGGTAAAAGGATCAATAAGAATTAAAAATTAATTTAAAAGAACATTAAAAGACAATTAAAAGGCAATTAAAAAGACCTGGCCAGGAACAAAAGAAAGACACGGGCTGAATGTGTCAGGGCCCTGGTTGACCGGGGAGGACTTTAAAAGAGGGCTGCCTTCACCCGGTGCTGAAAAGACGGCCAACGTGGCCGGGCAGGCCACAGCGGGGAGGGCGTTCCAAACGCAACACGCTGCAGCGCAGCTTCCTCACCGAAATGCGGTTGTGCTCTTTTTGCCTTGTGCACCTGATCGAAGCCACAGAACCTGCGTGGACAACTTGCGGCCCTCCAGACGGTTTTACCTGCAACCCTTCTCTGGAGGACTGATGAAGTTGCCGGCCAAATGTCTGGAAGGCGACAAGTTTTGGGTTGCCATTGCGTGTGCGTAACGTCACTACTAGATCATCCTTCCTGACTCTGGTGGCCTCCAGAGGTCCTGGATTTCAGCTCCCAGCATTCCTGGCCATTATTACGGCTGGAGGGAGTTGTGATCTAGCCCATCGGGAGAGCACCAGGTGGGGAAGGCTGCAGAAGAAGACTGGGCCTCGACTCGGGCGCACCACCCTGCTCCCGCACTTGCTCTCAGACAAACGTGGCTGAGTTTTTACGACGGGCCTCAGACACAGCACCGGTGCACCTGCTGACAGCCCATCGGATGAGTGAGCGTTTGACTCAGGGTCTTTTCACGGGGCGGCCACATCTTGGGAACGATCCCCAGAATTGGGGCACGCTTACATCGCTTTTTACATAGACCTTTTTATGCTTCCGTCTCCAGGTTTTTTCCAGGAATGTGGGTTGAGTTTTCGGACTGCTGTCATGTTTAGTTTGGAACTGGATTGTTGCTGTGTATTTTATGAGCCTGGTGTTTTAGCTCGTTTTAGTGAGTTGTCTCGAGAGGGCTTTGCCTAGAAATGTGTCACATAAACTCAAAGCAAAGCACATCAAGTCAAATCAAATGAATAAATACCTACTTGGAAGAAATCACATTTGCTCCAATACAATGTACTGGGCATAATGACTCAAAAGCTGTCGAGCGATCCAAGATGTCTTTTTTTAATAAAAAGGGGGGAATGTGCATAGGATGGAAGCTTTAAACTAGGGTTGGGGAATATGTGTCCCTCTATATGTGGTTGGACTTCAGCTCCCAACAACCACAAACAGATGGCCGATGTTCAGGGATGATGGGTGTTATGGTCCAATGGTACCTGGATGACCATGTGTTCTCCATTTCTGAGTAAGCCCATCAGTGGTTGAAGGCCAATTATAAATCACATGGTTGCCAGAAATGGGTGTGTTTCGTTTTTGATGGCTACTTTGGTCCCAGTGCGCTACTACACAAGACATTATAAAATATAATGTGAAAATTGGCCTTATTTTAAAATGCAAGGGCAGCTTTCCTTTCTTAAGTATAAATCCTCTTACTCTTCCTTCACTTTCTCAAGACAGCACTTACACTGAAGCTTTGCTAATATACATACTTAGTTGAACATCAAATTAATCAGCTAAAAGACCGATATATATTAACTAAACCTTCTTTAAATGGTTGGGAGCCATAAAAATGTCCACAAATTATTCAGTCCCATTATGGTATGCCAGATGCAAAAGTGGGCGAGCTGTGAAAACGATCCTGCGCTGCATCGAGCACACTCATATAATGTGAGTAATACAAAATGCCTTGCGTATAAAAAAGACTCGGTGTGTGAGGAGTTCACTTGATTCCACGTCAGCGTGAACCGCAGTGCCCTCCAGCACTTAGCTGCATGTTTTGGATGCTGGGGGCAAAGCCAAGACCCAGAAGGAAAGGGGGGATCCGTCGACCCCCCCAGGGATGGAGAAGGCACGGCTCTTTAGCTGTTGCTGAACTCTGGCGACCATCACTCCTTGCTATTGGCTAAGCTGGCACGGGCTGATGGGAGTTGTGATCCAACATCTGGAGGGCAAAATGTTCCTTACCCTGGCGCCCAGCTGGCCTAAAAGCATAACGAGAGCACCCCGAAAGTGGGATCCCCCCACTGTTCAGACAAGCACCGAATCATGCGCCGTCTTCCTGCTTGAGCGGACAGAGCTGGCCTGCCAGATGTGCGTGAGCACTGCAGGAATGCTGAGGAAGGGCCAGATGTGCCATGCATCCAGCAGGCACTGGGGTTCTGCTTGCCCACACTTGGGCCACTGGGGGTTCTGAGGAGTAACCACAGGGTGGTTCCGATCGAAGGGCAGCTGGGCCAACAGGATGCCCAAAGCAACCCTGCCAGGCGGGCCTGTCGGAAGCAAGCTCTGACACCAGCAGGATTTCCAAGTCCCGCACAGACGGGTCCGGACCTCGTGAGCGCAGGCACACTCAGGCCCAGCACACCACAAAACAGAACCCGAATTCGGAGAGCCAGTGGTGGCCCAAAGAAAGCTGCCCCTCTCGCTATGATACCTTTCACACCAGTGCTGCATGCTACGAGGCTGGGGGAAATTTAGCAACATCCAAAGCTGCGCTGCGGGAGGCCAAACTGTTTCTCCAACCAGTCCAGTATGTCCTACTCTGGCTGGCAGCAGTTTCCCAGGGTCTCAGAGGGAAGAAAACTTCTCCAGCATTACCTGCACCTGGTCTTTTTTTTAAACTGGCATCACTGGGGTTGAACCCACACACAGCACCAGTCCCCCGCAGTGAGTTGGGAATTTGGGTATTGCACTCCGCGGAGGTGAAGCTGCTTCTACCTGGTGCTGCTCGGGGCTCTTTGGTGACTTGACGTGCCGTATCGCCACACAGCCGACTCCGATGGACAGGATGGACTCTTCCATGAGTGGCAACGTTCCCGACTCCTGCACAGACTTCACTTCCACTTGAATTCGGTGAGACTGGCCCTGCGCATCCAAGGAAGGTAGAAAGTGCCACTACAATACCAGCGTGCACTGATCTTGCCAATGTCCAGGCACACGTTCTCTGCTAAAAATTCATCGCGCAGCACAAAGCAAGAACACCTTCAAAACATTGGGATGCCGAGACGGGGCAAGAGAGACCCCTGCTGGCAGCTGCGTGACAGACAAGCTTTGCTCTGGAAATGCAGCGCCTTCCGTGGGCTGGACGGAACCGGCAGCGTGGACATTAGGTTGCCGCAGAAAAAGCAGCACATGCCTTGACAGATGGGGAGGGGCACACAGACCTTGCTCAGTGTTAGAAACACAGAAGCAGAGCGAGTCAGAAGGGGCCTCCCGGGCCATCTAGTCTGACCCCCGGCTCCAGCCGGCTCCGCTCATGACATGCCCACCACGTGCACGTCCAGCCTGTCCTTGAACACCCGCACCGATGGGGCCTCCACCACCTCCTGTGGAAGCCCGTTCCACACCCTCGGGGTCCTGGCATCTAAATGACCTGCTGCACCTCAAGGCTTCCGCAAGGGGCGCCGCTCAGCCCTGAGATGGGGGCGCCCTTCAAAGGACTGCACCCTGCATACCAAGTTACTTCTCTCTACTGAACAGCTACGGACGCTTCACTAGTAGCACCTGCCTTGGCCTTTGCCGCCTGGGAGCTGGCCTGATGTGCTGGACCACAAATCCAAGCATCCCTGGCCAGCAGGCCCCCGCTGGCGAAGAGCAATCTAACCGAAATGAAATATATTTAAGCCCTCGGCCTTTGTACTGGCTTAACCCAAGTCCCCACCGGCCACCCACAGCGGCAAAAATTACGGACACCTTCCAGCAGCTACGATCGCCCCTTCAGGACGTTGGGCAAAGAGCCACTTGGGTTTGTATGCAGCGGCTTGGCCTCTGATGGATGTGCAGCGGTGAGGCTGGTCCTCAGTGATTTGGCTGCACTCCTTTCAGCCCACCCAGCAGCCCCCATGCACTGATTTCCCAGCAGAATTGCCGGGAAGCTGGCGGCAGAAGGAGACCCAGCCTGTCCAGGGGCAACCGAGCCCCCCACCTTGATGAACACAATCCCCCCTCATCCTCAAGCACAGCTGCAACCGGAGGATGGCAGGGAGGGGCTACAGCTCTGGGCACGATACTTATCCATGAGTGGAGCGGCCGAGGAGAAAGTCGGCACACCGAAAGAAGCAGACGGGTCGGCTCCGCGGACAGCGCTGCGCTCCGCCTTACCTGCCTGAGCTGAAAGATGCCGCCGGTCTGCACGTCCTTGGCTGGAATCACCTCCACGGGGCAGTACTCCCCATTCTCGTTCAGCTCCAGAATTTGAACCCAGAGCTCCACCTTGCGGGTGACCTCGCTCCACCTGCAAAAACAGCCCTTTGGTAAGAGACAGGCGCTTGTGCCTTGTGAAGAGTGTTTCGAAACTGCTGGGGAGAGAGCGGAAGTGCATGCCTGGATGCGTGGCAGTGGGGAGGTGCGGCCCCAGTTCATCTGGGAAAAATAGTGCTGCTGGCGGCTGGGAAAATTTCTGTCTCCAGATAAAAACTCTTCTTAGAGATCCCCAGTAATAAGCAGGGTGTTCATTTGCGCAGTTAAACGATGCCCAGTTTCTGTCTTCAGAGTACTTATTTATTTAAAACTTTTCTATACTGTCCCATCACATATGTCTCGGGACGGTGTACAACACCATTAATAAAATTGAAAAAAAAAATAGAAATCAGAGTAGGAGAAGCACAGCATTCGATGTTAAGTATAAAACCACCAATTAAAACAAATTAGCAATTAAAATATTGGAAGAATAAAAAGGGTTTTGCCTGACGCTGAAAGGAAAGAAGTGTTGGCGCTAGGTGAACCACTCTGGGGAGCATGTTCCACAGAGGGGGTGCCACCGCAGAGAAGGCCCTCCCCTGGGTAGTCACCCTCCTGATCTCTTTCAAGGAGGGCTCCCGGAGGAGGGCCTCTGACTCAGATCTCAAGGGCAGGAGGGCACATAGGGGAGAAGGCTCTCCTTCAGGTATCCAGGTCAAGATCTCTTCTTGCTGTTACTGGAGTGCAGGACACAAAATAATCAGCTCAAGTTTCGGCAACCCAGATTCAGGCTGGACATCAGGAAAAGCTTCCTCACTGACAGAGCAACACGACAGTGTGACCAGCTGCCTGAAGAGGTTGGGGGCTCTCCCACACTGGAGACATTGAAAAAGAAACTGGGCAGCCCTCTGAGTGGGGTGGTGTGACTTGGTGTCCTGCAACAGCAGGGGGTGGACTTGATGGCCTTCATGGCCCCTTCCAACTCTACTGTTCTATGATTCTATGACAGTGGGACCAGCTGGCTGGAGGGGTGGGGGGCTCTCCCACACTGGAGACACTGAAAAAGAAACTGGACAGCCCTCTGAGTGGGGTGGTGTGACTTGGTGTCCTGCAACAGCAGGGGGTGGACTTGATGGCCTTCATGGCCCCTTCCAACTCTACTGTTCTATGATTCTATGACCCAAGCCGTTTAGGGCTTTATTGGTCATCACCAGCACCTTAAATTGGGCCCGGACTTCAATCGGTAGCCAGTGTAAGTGACAGAAGACCAGCGTTATATGTGAATCCACTGGAGAGCCAGTGTGGTGTGGTGGTTAAGAGCATGGGACTGGGACTCAGGCTATCCAGGTTCTGGTCTCTGAAGTGCCTGATCCTACCTATCCTGGAAGCTAAGCAGGGTCAGGCCTGGTCAGAATTGGGATGGGTGACTTGAGTGTATGATACTATGATTATTGCTGTCAACTGCCTAGAGAGCTTTGGCTATGGGCAGTATAAAAATGTAATAATAATAATAATAAAAATAATAACTGGGTGACTTTGGGCCAGTCACAGACTCTCAGCCCAACCTACCTCACAGGGTTGTTGTTGTGGGGATAAGATGGAGGAGGAGAATGACGTAAGCTGCCTTGATCCCTTTGTAGGAAAAAGGTAGGATATAAATTGAAAAATAAATAAATAACCTGCCGGTCCCCCTTAATATCCTGGCAGCTCTATTCTGAACCAAATGAAGTATCTGGACTGTCTTCAAGGGCAGCCCCACGTAGAGGGCATTACAGTAATCCAGTCGGGAAGTTACCAGAGCAGGGGTCACTGACAGAATAACCTTGGAGTGTATCTCTGCCAGCTGCAGGAGCTTTCCAACTTTGGGGCCAGGTAGTGTTTGAAATGGTGGAGACGGAGGTGCACGGGGAGGAAGTTTTGAGCAGGATAAAATGTTTCTAGAGTCATGAAACTACCATTGCTCTTTCCTTCTGAATTCAAATCCCAAATTAACAGAAGGATGAAATGGCACACGGAATAACTCATCTTCCTGTTAAACCTCCTCCTCTGACATCAGAGGTTGCTCACAGTTTTCTAATTCATTTACCAGCCAAATGCCAGATGTGATAGGTACCTGTCTCGGAGGCTTCGTGTCTTGGCTTGAATTATTCCCAAATCCCAAAGAGCCGGGTTTTTGCGAGGATCGCACTGCTTGTGCCCATAAACTTCAATGGCCAAAGCCCCATCAGAAAGATACTCCATAAAATCTTCAGTGATATTGACAGAGAATTCCTGGGTCAAAAAAGGACAAAGGAATCAGTGTCATTCAATTCTCCTCCTGTTTCGTTTGACTGCTGTTATGGAGGGACGTGTTTCTCACACCTGAAAGCTGAAATAAAGGGCCAGAACTCTGGCTATGCCTTCAGGAACTCATGTCTTCTGGACAGAAACCTGTCCAGGAAGGTTCAACAGCAACTGCTCAAGTATGCAAACTTTACGAAAAGCTTAAATCAGTATCATTAAATTTAACAGGAAAAGGAATGGGAGAACATTTTTTTCCAGTTGGCATCCTAAACCAATCCACAGGGGAAGTACAGCCACAACTTAGGGCTTTACTCTAAGACATTTACTGATTTATAGTCACTTTGCAAGCAGTTATCAGGCAGTTTCTTCTCCAGTGTGTTTTCATTGAAATTTATATGATAGTTTTAACTCTTTTAAAATAAGCTGGGTCTGAGCCACCTAAAAGATCACTTTCACCCACATGAGCCCTACCAAGTTTTATGATCAGCATCAGGAGCGCCAATCTAGCTAAAAACACTCCAATATATCTTCTGTAATATACAGTCTACCCAGAATGCTTTCCTTGCATAGGCCTTGGATGGTATTTGTTGATAAGACAGTCCACCCAACCTAAAGCGGCTACTCATGAGCAACAACGGGCCATGCAATAAGACGACAAACACCGGGACAGGTCCTACAATGGAGCCAAATGCCAGTACCGGTCCCTGTATCAACTCTGCAGAATCTAATGTTCAAACCTTTTTATTCAATTGTTATTTTAAAAATTAATTTTAATGTCAACAGTCACTTTTTATTTAACTTACATTTTTGGTTATTCGTTATTTTTATATTGAGATGTCGGTTTTTTGTTTCTGTTTTAATGACTGTAAGCCGTCCCGAGATGCCATGCTTAAAGGACGGCATATAAAAGTTTTAAGTAAATAAATAAATACAGACTCTAATATTGCAGCTGACAATGTTAGGGGCTCATCCTCCAGTGTGAAGGAACAACTTAAAGACCACGGTTTACTGTGCCCAGCAAGCCGAGATTCATAATTCAATGCCAAACCATGATTTGAAGTTGGCTTGGCAAATCTCAGCTTCTTTGTGCAGAATCAGGCATGGCACTGATGTTCTCATTGCTTCCCTTCTACTTCTTTTCTACAAGCAGTGAGTCTGCTTATGGAAGGGTGATTTTGCGCTTTCCAGGGAAGCTCTGAAACGAGCGGAAATTTTCGTTTCTGGAAGAGCTTCCTTATGCAATTGCCCAGAAACGAATTCATGCTGGCTTGGAAGCACTCAAGAACGGTGGGAGGTGTTTGCAAAAGCAGCACTGGTGGGGCAAGAGACTCAGCAGAGGTTTAAACATCCAGCTGGATTCTGTCCTTTGACACATTAGCACCAATCCTAGGCTAGCGTGTCACGCTGAGTTAGCCCTGGCCTGGTTTGTTAACGACGTGAGCAAACAGCCTGTGCTTCCTCGGGGTGCTTGGCCACACTGACCTGGCATGGCCCACAACGGTGGCAAATCATGAATTAAGCATGCAGAATAATTCATGATATGCTGCTATAACTAATTATAATTATTATGGATTATTTAACCCACTGACAGTTGAAATTAAGGCTGGGATGGCCCTCTGTGCTGAGGTTTATAAAGACTTATCTGGACAGGAGCTTGAGGGGATTCCCATCCGGGGAGTTTTCCAGAGTCTTTCTTTGTTATTGTCTGGTTTTAGCAGCTTTAAACTTTTCTGATTTTATACATTTTATTATTTGCTTTATGGACTGTTGTACACTGCTAAGAGCTCTGGCTGGGGGCAGTGTAAAAATCTAATCAGCATCGGCATCAACGTCATCTATCTATCTATCTATCTATCTATCTATCTATCTATCTATATTTTAAATTATTCTTCTTCCTCTAATGTCTATATTTTAATTTATGTGGTTTTAATTTATTGTTGTAAGCTGCCCCGAGGCTTCGGCGAATGGGGCGGCATAAAAATGTTTTAATAAATAAATAAATAAAAATATCTACCTATCTATCTAAAACTTCTGTACGCTGCTCAATTGTGCCCCAGCACCTCTGGGTGGCTCACAACACAATATCATCTGAGTTTCCACGTCACGTCACGGCACGAAGCTTGCAAACTGGCACTTGATGAATTAATCACCCCACAATTGGACATTGGTATGTGAGACGAGGCCTACCGTTGCGTAACAATCGAGAGATCTTGGCTTAAAGTGACGGCTGAACGTGTGTGCATCGCAAAACAGCCCACCCAGGGTGACCAGCCATGCTGAGTCGTCATTCACCCGAACACGTTATTTTTCACGAACGAGCCAACCTGAGAACCCACAGCTTGTTTTGGGTCGTGCCTGACCGCTACGAACTGCTGATCCGAAATCAACAGCACATCTTTATTGTGAGTTGTTGAAAAGGACTTGGCAGCTTCATGCAAGAGGGGAAAACAGCCCAGTGTTCCTTTTCTATACCCTTTCTTTTCTTTTATAACTTCTTTTATATCGTTTATATTTTTTATTTATTTTATATTATTAATTCTAATTTTATATTGTTATTTTTGTATTGTATTGTATTTTATTGTGTTGTAAGCCGCCCCGAGGCTTCAGCAAGGGGCGGCATAGAAATGTTATAATAATAATAATAATAATAATAATAATAATAATAATAATAATAATAATACCCTTCCAAAAATGCAGAACAGGGTTTTGGGAAGGCGGCCGTCATCCCTGGCTTCTCATTTTTCAGTGCCTCAAAAAGGAAGCGTTGTGGCAATAATTTTTGAATTGTTTTAATTTTTCTTGGTATTTTATGCTATTGCAGTATGCTCTTCTGGCCATTCTGTGCACAGTTGCGAATGACCAGAAATGAAATAAGTGAGACCTAAGAGCGCAAGTTAGAAGCACTCGAAATACGGGGGGAACTCCGTTGGTGTGAGCGCAATCACATCTCCCTCTGGTGACGTGATCCTCCCTTTCTACTTTTTAAGTGTCAACTGACATTTCTCAGCCACTTCCTCTTTTCAACAAGTCCTCAGCTTTCCAACTATTCCTAACAAGGGGAGGCATTAAAAGAAGCTGCCATTATGGCTTTCTTTTCAGAACTGTGGTTCTCTGGCAGTTTTTCAAAATGCAGAAGTGGCTTAATAGGAGGCATGAAGGTACCCAAGCAAACATGCTTCACACGCATCCGGCTGTGTGCCGTGAGCACGAAATCGAGCGACGTAATTTGGAACAGGCCCCAACTTGGCCAGAAAGCGGCGGGCGACCCAGGACTTGGACACATGGCCGCCGAATCGTTAGCGAGATGGCTCTCTGCTTTAAGCTTGGCAGCTCTTCTCAGAAGACCTTCAAGCAACTTCCCCTAACTGGGGACCCTCCAGAGAACTGGAGCAACGAACACGCAAGCGATGCGCACCCGCCAGCTGCGCGACGCTCCGAAACGGCCCTCCCTTGGCTTTGTCTACAGCGGAAAAGGCAAGAGCAAAATTACATTGCAGTGATCAAAGACAACCATGCACCGTGGTTCCTTGTTGATCGGCGACAGCGAGGGGTCGACTTCGGGGGCCACCGTCACCGGTTCCAGCTGGTCCCAGAAGGAGTATTTGCAGAAGACGAAGTTGGAGAGATGCTGAGGCAAACCCGTAGCCTGAAGGATTTTGATCTAGGAGGAAGGGAACATGCCTTTATGCAAATAAATAATACATAGGATGGAAATAACGGCATAATTATACAGCATCCTTTAAAAATAAACTTGACAACGCTAATCTGTGAAGGATGGTGTTGATTTTCCGAGGCAGGCGGCTAAGTATCTATAGTAGAATCTTCTTGGAATGGTTCTAGATTAAAAAGGCGGAAAATCTCCACCGGGGGTCACCGGATGACCCAGCCTTGGGTCACAAGTGGAAGGAAAAACAGAAGACCACCTCCTTTCTTTCTTTGATGCACACACATTGTTCAAAAGGAATTAAATGCAGCTAGGACACGGTTAATAAAGTCGTTCATTAGCGAAGAACGACACAACAAGTGCCATGACCCACACACACAGTTTTTTCCACTGGAAGCCAGGAACGCTGCAACGCACCCAGCGCTGCCCAGTCTGAGGCGCACGCCCACATCAGAAACAGGCCTGGGGCAGTTAGACTGAGAGCGACCGGTGTCGGGACAGATCACCCAGCTCACGTCATCTTTATCAGATGGTCTTCACTACTCTGAACTCTTTCGATGTAGAAGTGGCTTATACACCAACACACAAACTGAGAGTCTTTCGTTCTACAGCACCAGGGACCAGACTCGGTGTTTGTTAACTGAGCCAGCCTGTCGCAAGACAGCTGCCCTCCAGACCTGTTGGACTGCAACCCCCATCATCCCCAGGGCCAGGAGAAGCTGAACTGGGCGACTGCCTCCAGGAAGGGAACTTGAACTTGACACCGAGCCAGCTGGAATGCGCTGATATGGATCAAAGGGAACGAAATGCAGCCTATCCCGAAGGTTTCCCCTGTGTCCGGAGTACGGCATTGCTTCCTGTGTGTGGCGTGCGTGCTGCACACCAGAACGGACCCTGCTGGAATGTCCCACAACTCACAGGCACTGCGGTTGTGGCTTCATCACACAGGAGCACCGCCGAGGCAGCGACATCGCGATTGTCCCGTGCGCCGCTCCGCCACAGCCCCAGCCCAGCCGTAAGAGCACCTTTGCCAGGCCGGGCAATTCCAAGGGCCAGGAGGTTCCAGCCAGAAACCCGCCGGCACGTCCCCAGGGCACCTACAGCCTCTCCTGCCCTCCCCACGAGCAGCACCTGGCACCCAGGGGGATGCTGTTTCACAGCTCACCATGCACACCAGCTTGTGCTCCCGCTGGTCATTCTCGGCGAGGCCCTCCGTCCCGTCGTCGCCGCCCGCGATGCGCTCCCCGATCTCTCCGCTCACACGCACCACTTCGACGTGCAGGCGGCCTGCCACCTGAAGGGGGAAACGAACCCACAAACGCGGGAGAGGCGTTTCAGGAGCGGAACCACACAGACGCATACTGCTTTGATGACGTCTGCAAGCCGACAAGGCTTTCCCCTTAAGCCGAGGTTGGAGGGTGGCCGGGAGAAAAGAGACCCCTTCTGTGTTGGGCCCACCCAGCTCTGGCCCCCTCTGCCCAAGGAAGTTCGCCTGGTTTCAGAGCTAGGACCCTTCCAGGGTCAGGTTATGACTCTACCACAGGCTTTGACAAATCTGCTCTCGATTGCAACCCTTGCGCTTCCAAATTCATTCTTGCACTCAGTGGCTGCTTTCGGCTCTTTTTAAAACTGTGCTCTGGTTTGGGGTATTGTGCTGGTATTCAGGTATCCAGGCTTTTCTGCTCAGCTGGATAGTGAATAAATTTGGGACAATCCTGCGAACAGAATCCAGACAGCCATGGGAGGACTTGGGAGTCCCAGCTCTGAGCCTGAGAACATGTTCTGCAGTTGGAGCTGAGCCCTGGGATCTGGAGCATCTTCCTTCTGCCCTCACAGCTGGCCCAGGAAGAACTATTCCAGCTGCAGCTCCGAGGTCGCGACCACAACCCCAGAGAGGGAATTGTGGGCATCACGGTGGGGGGGCAGGGAGGGAGGGAGACGGGAGTCACCAGCACACCGTTTCCTGGTGACACCTCGGCTTCCTTTCCTGACAAGCCAAACGAGCAGATGGCCAAAACTGGCCTTTTGTGTGTTTTGCAGGACAGGGAAATGTGGAAGTGACCTTTGCCCTCCAGTCTCCATAGGATACCCATAATCCTCTGAGCTTGAAGAGTTGCAAGCAGCCATATTGGATTAGACTGTTATTGTTTTTTGCTGTATAACGAATGCTATTTAAATAATTCTTCAATGCTCAGAGAGAATTTGTTCCGTGTTTTTAGAATTTGTGCAATCAATGCTAAAAAATGAAATACATTGCATCAATTAGGAACCGCTGTCCATCAAGTTCCGAAGATACTTTCCCACAATCCCATGGGAGAGGGAGCATCCTTAGTGCTCCAAAACAGCTGCACAGGGTACAGAGGATCGGCAAAGTGCCACAGGACGAGTCCTTGGTGTGTATTCAGATTGCAGTGAAAAGAGCTGCAAGGGGAAAGGGCTGCGTTGCCTGGCTTTGCATCCTCTCCACTGCACACAGATTCCCAAGGCCTGTTCTCATGGTGGGGCTATGCCAGGCTCTCCGTATGATTATACCACTTAGGCCTCAGGGGTGGGGGGACTCGCATAACGGAAGGGTTCCCCATTGCGGGGGGGGGGGGGGAATCCCTGCAAAAGGAAAACTTGCAGTCCAGTTTTCTATGGGGATGGAGGAATGAGGGATGACCGAAATGAGCAGGATTCTCAGCAACCGTCTTGCAGCTCCTCTCATGCCTGAGTCCCACCTGGTTTGCGGTCTCTGCTCTCTGTGTGTGAGCAAGAAAGCTGCGAAGGTCGAGAAGCGATCAAGAGGAAGGTTTGCGCAAATTTCTTGCACAGAGCAAAGAGGGCCGATTGAGTCCATGAAGGAAATATGCCCGAGTGAGGAAATTTGCGCAAAATGAACAGGGAACGAGACGAGCACAAGCAGGTGTTTGATCGTTGGTGAGTATTTTCAGCAGACAGTGAACAGGGCACGCTCGCATGTTTTGTGGACAAAACCAGCTTTCTGCTTATTTTCCCCTCAGCTGCCTGGAGCGATACAACCCAGAAGCGAGTGTGCAAGTTCAGTGGGAGCTCCTTCCGCACAAAATATAGCTTGGTTCCAGTTCTATTTCAAGGGAGGTCACACTGGTCAACTTGATGGATGCGCAAAACATCGGGGGACTGCCCCAAATTCAAAATCAGCTTGAGTATTTGAAACATAGAGACACTGACAAAAGCAATTGCTCATTCACAGATTGACATAAACACCCAGTCAATTTTTTCCAAGGCAAACCTGGAGGGCAGAAAGACAAGGTATGAAAAACAGGGTAGGTAATTAAATGCAGTTGGTTATTAGCAGCCTCTATGTTATGTCTGGAGATGGAGGATCAATTTTAATTGTGCAATGAACTGTAATTGCCAAAGAAGAGACTGGGTGATTATGTGTTTATGAAGTGAGTGTGATTCCGTCACCTCTCCCTTCTGATTGATGATGGGAACGGCGTACTGCAGCTTCACGTCGTAAAAGAGGGACTCCAGGAAGACGTTGGCCACTCCGATGAGGCTGTGGTTCTCCTGCTCGTCGTAAAAAGGGTCCGCTCTCCTGAAGTAAGACCTCATGACCTGGAGTGGCACACAGAGAAGAGAGCGGTCCGGTTCCAGCTGGTCCTTGCCTGGCTGCCCAGCTCCTCCCTGCAGGGTCAGGACGGCTTGTGACAACTCTGGGAAAGCTGCTCCCACCTAACGGGCAGCCCAAAAGACTCCACAGCGATCGGCGCCAGGTGAAGACCTTTTTATTTGAACATCATTTTAATTGTTAACAATATTTGCTTATTTATCTGGCCAGGGCGACTTCTTTTATATTTTATATTTATTTTATATTGTTAATTTTAACTGCATATTGTTATTTTTGTATTTTATTGTATTTTATTGTGTTGTAAGCCGCCCCGAGGCTTTGCCAAGGGGCGGCACAGAAATGTTCTAATAATAATAATAATAATAATAATAATAATAATACAGCACCTATAGATATGTTGCACAGAGGCCCCAAAGAAGAATGGAGAAGCCCGCTTCCCCAGATTCCCAAGTCCTTTGGAAGGAGTGTGGCTGTTGGGCGTACATGTTGTGAGCACACGTGCAGGCACCCAACTCTGCACACTCCTCATTTGTATGACCTTTTTATTTAAACATCATTTCAATTGTTAAAACATATGATCTGGCCAGGGCAACTTCTTCTTCCTTCTCTTTCTCCTCCTATATTTTTATTTTATACTGATAATTTTAATTTTATTTTTGTAAATCAATGTATTTTTTGTATTTTTATATTTAATGGTAATTTATTATGTACTATTGTATTTCAATGTATTTTATCATGTTGTAAGCCGCTCCGAGATTTCGGCAAGGGGCGGCATAGAAATGTTATAATAATAATAATAATGATGATGATGATGATGATGATGATGATGTATGTATGTATGTAAAGTTTTTATATGCTGTCCTATACTCAAGTCTCTGGACGGTTTACAAGAAACAAAACAACCACATACAACAAACAACACACAACACAATGCTTCCGACCATTTATGATAAAATCAAAGATGAAACCAATTGTTAAAAAAATTGGGAGAGTAAAATGGTTTTCACCTGACGCCGTAAAGAATAAACTGATGGCGCCAGGTGAACCTCCCTGGGGAGCGTGTTCCAAAGTCGGGGTGCCACCGCTGAAAAGGCCCTTCCCTGGATAGCCACCCCCCTCATTCCTTCAAAGAGGGCTCCCGGAGAAGAGCCTCGGCCTCAGATCTCAAGGGGTGGACAGGCCTCATGCATCGGTGAAGCAGCGCCTGCTTTCTGTATGGACGCTGCTGTGCTCGGCCCCTGGCGACTTGAGCAGCAAGCGCTGCCCCAAATCTGGAGGGTCGTGACGAGTCGGAACAGTTTAAACCTCCCCGCAACCCTCACCGCCGGCTGTGCACTCAGCTGAACGGGGAAAGACGGTGGCACCTTAACACGTCTGGACAGCCGGGCCGGCTGCGACAAATGCTCCTGAGTCATCCTAATTGAAGCACCACGAGGCTTTTGTGCACGGGAGCACCACTTAATTTGCTGGCAGAAAGAATAGCAGCAAAGTCTCCTAATAGCCCTAGTTAAGAACATCCAAATATTTAGTTTGGTTCATCCTGTCCAATGGCTTCGGGATCTTCAAGGATCCAGTATTTAACTTCACCAAAGCAGGAATGTGTTCACAACAGCAATAGAAGGGCAGGGCGAATTTCAAGGGTGTGGAAACACAAACACGCAAACATGCAGAGGAGGTCCTCCCATCTCCTGGGAGATGTTGTCATGCAACGCTGTCCCAAGGGCATGAAGGGGGGGCGGGGTTACAAAATAGTGGCTGGCAACCTTTCCTTATGCCGGCCATTCGCCCCCACCCCAAATGCCAAAGAGGAAAGATGGTTTTACCATCAGACCTATCAACACACACACCCAAATTTCGGCCAAAAGTTCTTGTTCAGCTCAAATTAAGATGGAGGACTAGAAAAAAACTTCCCATCACTGGCCACCCTTCAAAGGCTAAGACCCTTTTTTTTAAAACAATATTTGAACAGCGTTTAACATCTACAGGTTTTAATTGTGCAGCCAGGGTGTTTCTGGGTTTTAATTGTATTTGTATTATGTCTATTTATTTATGTGAGCCATCCCGAGGCTGCAAGTGATGGGACGGCATACAAAAATTCTGGATGAATGAATGAATGTTCTGGGACTTACACTCCAGAGAGACCAGGTTGGAAGTCTGATATAGACAGAAGCTTAGAGAACCACACCTGCCTTCCTGTTCCCCTGCAAAGGAGGAGAAGCGATCGCCGCCTTCCCTTCCACGTACCAGATTGTCCTCCTCACAGTCTTTCCATTCTTGATAGAGGTCCCTCATGTCCACCAGCCGGTTCTCCAGCTTCTCCAAGGACCAGATCTGCTTGCCTTTGCCTTTCCGTCTCACCTGTATGGCGGGCTCGCTGAGAATGGCGCCTCGCTGCAAGGAGCAGAGCAGGAGAGAAGTAAAATAACCGCCCTTAGCTTGGGAAGAGCTTCGGGGAGCCACTTTTTAAAATCTCAAGTGTATAAACTGAACAGAAAAGCGACAGCCACCGAGTGGCTTGGGACAATTGTTTTCCTACTTCTCCTGAACAACTTTTCAGTACCTAATTTAACCTTAACTGTTAAATTATATTGTTTTATAGGATGTTATTTATTTATGTTTGTGAGCCGCCCCGAGGCTTCGGCGAATGGGGCGGCATAGAAGTTCCCTAAAGAAAGAAAGAAAGAAAGAAAGAAAGAAAGAAAGAAAGAAAGAAAGAAAGCAAGCAAGCAAGCAAGCAAGCAAGCAAGCAAGCAAGCAAGCAAGCAAGCAAGCAAGCAAGCAAGCAAAATGCTTAGTAATGGGAAAGAGGTCTGTAAATGAACCCACCCCCAAAAGGAGCCGCCCCGAGGCTTCGGCGAATGTGGCAGCATAGAAGTCCCCTAAATAAATGAATGAATGAATAATGCAAAATGCTTAGTAATGGGAAAGAGGTCTGTAAATGAACCCCCCCCCCAAAAAAAAAGGATATTGAGGAGACGAGGAAAGGCACCCATAAAAATGTGGGGTCAGAATTTTTGGCCAGCTCAGCCATCACCACCCTCAGCCACCTTCCACTTGCCCTCACATCTGGCTTTCCTCCTCCAGCTGCAGTTTTTGGGTGCAGAAGGATAAGAAGAAGCAGGACCATTAGAGCAGGGGTTCAGAAGGGGTTACTGGGGGAGAGGCTGACACCCCCCCCACTTGCCAAGAAGTGCAAGATACCAGCTCTTAACGTCTCTATAAAAACTAGTAACTAGCCCATTTTTGGAAAATTGTACTTTTCTATTCAACACAATGTGGAATCCATGTCCAAAGGGTAACAGCTTCTTGGTCTGGCTCACCACTTTTTAAACCAGGAGTACTTTTACCAACAACGGAAGCTGCTGTTCCGCCTGGAGGAAGTGAATCCCTTCATCAGTTGCTGCCAAAGGGAGAAAATCAGCAGAGCAGGGTCACTCAGAACCTCGCCAGGCCAAAAGGATCAATTCAGTGTGCCTTTTTCGGCCTTACAGGGCCCAATCCTGGGCCTGTGTAGCCAGAAAGGGGAGCTTGTGTGCCTTTTTTCTGTCTGAATGTGCACAGGATAGGACTCCGCACGGTTCTGGGCAAGGCTACTTGAAGGATTTCTTGCGCTCACATGTACCTGCCCATAGTTTCAGACCAGTGTCAGAGGCTCGCGCACTTCATCTATGAACTGCATCAGGATTTTCCAGGCATGTGTTTTTCCAAAAGAAGGGTCAGGTGTGACTATCGCAACTACACATTATCATACAGGCGAGGTGTGTTATTAAATTTACCAGACGCTTAGCAACTACATGCGCGGGGATGAGGGAGGAAGGAACTGGCCCACTCAGGAATATTCCAGACTACTGCCCTGAATCTTGCGGCTCCCTCTGCCCCCCACCTTTAAATAACCCAGGTAAGCCCACAATCTTTTTACTCTTGAAGGTACATTTGCCCGGTAAGAACGCAATTCCCGTGTGACAACCAAAACACAGATTGGCCTGTTTATGTTTGAATGGCAGCCATGAAATACGCCCTTCGCCTGCTTGTTTCCAGGTCCTTACCATTTTGTCCGAACTGTGGTTTTCCCTACCCGATCACAGAAACACAGAGCGAGTCAGAAGGGGCCTCCTAGGTCATCTAGTCTGACCCCCTGGTCATTACAGTGTGCATGCATTCACACGGACATGCCTTTTTGGGCTACCGAACGGAAGTTCTCACCCAGCACGGGTGGCACTCCTGCTCCTGAACATGCTGCATGTTGAAAATATGTATTTCCAGAGACCCCAGATGAACACACAGAGGGCCTTTGGAGAAACACTGGCCCGGCTCCTAAGCGAAGGGGCAGCAGCTGTCGTCGAACAGGCTGGGCTCCCTCCTCACCTTTCGGTTCGCGTTGAGGCTGGAGGCCGGGATTTGCAGCGTGACCTTGTACTCCGTCCTTTTGTCCATCTCTTCCGCGATGAAGTTGGCTTCTCTCACGTACGAGTTGGCCTTCATTATCTGCTCCCTCAGCTTCCTCAGACTCTGGTTCAGCATCTCCTCTCTGTCGAAAAGGGAGAAAGAATTCCACTGCGGGGATCCGTAAAAAGAATGACCGACCCGACGGCTGAGAACAGGTTTCGCCCTGGTGCAAATATTGGACCTGAACGATCTCGTGGAAAGTTTAGCCGTGCCGTTCGTGGGACTGAGATGGCCGAAGAGCAGGTTTATTTATTTTTCAATCTATCTCTTGCCTTTTTCCTACAAAGGGCTCAAGGCAGCTGACATCACTCTCCTCCTTCATCTTATCCCCACAACAACCCTGTGAGGTAGGCCGGGCTGAGAGTCTGTGACTGGCCCAGAGTCCCCCAGTTGGCTCCATGGCTGAGTGGGGACTCGAACCCGGATTGCCTGAGTCCCAGTCCCAGGCTCTTCACCACCACACCACACTGGCTCTCCAGTTTTGCTGGAGGAAAGGGTACAAAAGCCAGCAACGGAAGGCTCTGTCCTCAGGGCCTGAACCGGGTCACGGCAGGGGTGCGCCGAAGCTCCATGGAGTCCCTCCCTCGACCGTTTGTGCCTGTCCTCTTATGCTCGGCCTCGTCTCCGAAAGCCAGTTGTGCGGAGTAGTTTGCCGGCACTCACAGGATAAAGGCTGTGTAACCAGCAAGTTTCTCCTGCATCACATGCAGCAAGACAAGCTGGAGGGCCTGCAAGGGAAAAGCCAGGAGGGGCGCCGCTTGCGTGGGAGTCGCACGAGGCACCACTCCTGGAGAGCCCCGTGGAAACCCCGGGCGTGATCACCAGGAACTCGAACTCACAGCCACAACAAACCGGGCCAGCGTCCACGGAGCCGAGCCCAGAGAATCTGAAGAATCCTCACTGCTCGGATTCCTCCCACAACCCTTGGGTCAGAGTTTGACTTCGATCAAATGAGGGACTCTTTTTATCCTTGGCTAGAGAAACGGGACTTTGCATAGATTTAAATGTGTTTTTAAGTTATCATAAATGGAAAAGGAAGGGTGTGGGGGCTGACCCAGCAGGCCCGATGTTTTTGATGATTGATGCTGTTTTTAGGGGGTTTTTTTTGTTTTGTTTTTTACAATTATAATTTCAAATAAAACTTATTTAAAAAAATTCCTTGGGTCAAAGTGCATCTTACCCTCCTTTCTCTTGCTTCATGGTACATTCCAACATATTGCCCACCCCTTGAGATCTGCGGGAGAGGCCCTTCTCCGGGAACCCTCCGGGAAAGAAATTAGGAGGGTAGGTACTCGGAGGAGGGCTTTCTCTGCGGTGGCGCCCAATCTATGGAATGCGCTCCCCAGAGAGGTCCGCCTGGCGCTGTCATTATTTGTTTTTCGGCGCCAGGCGAAGACCTTTTTATTTAAACATCATTTTAATTGCTAA